CAGCTCTAGGTTGGGTTGGGTTAGGTCAAGCAAGTCGATGCAACCACTAAATTCCTTCTCTTGAAAGTTAAGCACCATAGAATATAAGAAAATATAGAAAAGATGTACACTGAATATGACACAAATTACTAACTATATACTATAAATAATGGCAAACATTCATATAATATTTCCGGACTATAAACCAAATGCAATAAAAGCAACACAACCCAAATAAATCCAAAATGAGCTCAACAAAACGTTGTTTTGGCTAAATTCTTGGAACCAGATTCAGTTTTCAACTTATTCCAACAAACCCAAGAAAAAAGTGGGCCAACCCAACCCGACATTCCTTAATATCCACTAAAACCTCGATATTACCAAATGGCAGATTCGATCTTGTCAAACCACTACCTATGTCATGTCGAAACAGACACGCATTAAATTCTGTCATCATCAGATGTATCTCTCAATTTGGAAACCTGTTACGAGTTGCATCTTTTGGAATTTAATGGAAAAGTCACCAAGGGGGTGTCGAACAAATTGCAAGTGTTTATTAATCGATATCTGCAGTGTATTATAAACGCGAGGTAGTCGAAGTGAGTGATCCAATCAAAGAGAGGAAATGGCAGAAAAGAAAGAACAGTTGAGATGTCAGCGATTGACTGGAACTTCCTGAGACCACCGAGACGACTCGAAAACTCGACTTGAAAATGAAGTGTTGAGGAAAATACAATGAAAGTCGGGAGAGAGTGGGGAGAAGTGAAATACCTTTCTGCCAACCGGATCAAATAGAGAGTTTTTATTGTTGCTCTATGCTCCACCAGGAGTGATAGGAAATAAGAAGAAGTAATACAGCTAATTTAGAAACAGTATTTAGAGTTTTTGAATTTTATTTTTTAACGTCCAAGTTTCTTCATGAAAGGATTAACTTTGTATGGATAAATGAACCGTGTGTTGATTCAAACATGGCGCAATTTGCAACCGCTTCAATCGTTCGCGTCATAAACGGAGTATTTATGGTTTGCGTACGACCTATGGGCTGTTCATCTGATGAATTATGTATGGCAGGGGGCATTACCTTCGGCATTAAAAAGGTGAGCCTCTCCGCGGTACCTTGACCACAAAAACTTTCACTTTTTTTGACTGCAACTTATACAAAAAATAACATTGTTAATTTAAAATCGTTTTATTTAGAAAACAGTAAAAACCTTTTATTTCAGCAAAAAAACTCGTTACACACTCGCCCAAAGCAATTTTTTTTCTCATTCTCCTCTTTGAACGAACGTTCAGAGCTCAATTTAAATTTCCTTTCACACGTTTAAAAGCTCGGATTACGTTTAAAGGAGATGGAACCGGAAGGCGAAATCAAAAAAAAAGTTTTTATAGACCAAAAAATTTAAATAACTCAATTTTCTTTTTTTTGTCTTGTGATAATACGTGATCGAATTCGATGAGAATCCGGTTCGGACTCGTATAGAGTTGAGACGAGGACTTAGACAAACTAAAAATGACAATCGCGCACTTTACGTTCGATGGAATGCATGAAAGCTACAATTAGAGGAAAATGACTCCACATTCCTATCTATACGTGTTTAAGTTACCTTAAGGGTATGGTTTAATTGGCTTTGGATATAAAAAAGTTTCTAGAAAAAGATAAAAAAATAATTATTCAAAAAACGTTTTTGAAATCCAAAATACATAAAATAACGATAAATTATGGGCGATCCTTTCGAGATTATTAAAGAAGAAAACTGTGAGAATGTGATTTAAAATACAATACCCACAAGAAAACGTGTATCGTATAACTAAACACTTTATATACTTTATTTTTTAATTCGGAGGAGTGTTTTGAAATTGAAGCGCCAAAAAGAAGGGTTGATATTGGTCAGTTTTAAGCAAAAATTACTAAATTTAGTGTCAGTTCTAGTTTTAGTACAATAAAAATATACAACATAGTAATAACTTATGCTAACTAGCGCTATCTACCACTGCCATTAGAACTAACACTAGATCGAGAATTAGAAACATTCGGATTTAGCCGCACGTCTCTTAAGACGGCTAAACCCGAATGATTCTAGTTCTAGGTCTGGTGTTAGTGCTAGTGATAGTGCTAGTGTAAAACTAGAACTAACACTAGACCGAGAACTAGAAACATTCGGATTTAGCCGCACGTCTCTCAAGACGGCTAAACCCAAATATTTCTAGTTCTCGGTCTAGTGTTAGTTCTATCTAGTGATAGTGCTAGTGCAAAACTAGAACTAACACTAGACCGAGAACTAGAAACATTTGGGTTTAGCCGCACGTCTCCCAAGACGGCTGTGACGGCTAAACCCAAATGATTCTAGTTCTAGGTTTTGTGTTAGTTCTACGACAATTTTTGTAAATTATTAAACAGTGAAATTGAAGCTACTAAAAAACAATTGAATGCAGATTACATTATTAATTCTAATAATAAAACAAGAGCGTCTTGGCAACTAATAAACCGCCTTCAAGGTAAAGCTACCACAAGTGGTATAAAGCCAGCAGATTTTGAAGCTACAAATGAGCACTTCTTGAATATTCTGACGGAAATAAATGACTATTTTATAAAGATTTGGCCAAGGACAGTAAAATCTAACAGGACTGCTACATTCATTGTTGTGACAACGTGCCCGCAAACTACGTCATACCATTTTCCACGCCCAGTTCTATGCGTTTGCTGTGTATTTTTAGATATCTTAGACGTATTCATATTATTTTTGAAGTTTTATTTTTTTAGACGTATTAAAGCCTATCATGTAATCTCTAGATCTCAAAAAACACACAGCAAACGCATAGTACTCAATGACAGTTAACAGGGCGTGGCAAATAGTGTGACGTAGAGTGCGGGCAACCAACCCGTGGTGGGCTACAAAAATATAATGCATGTAGCAGTCCTGTTAGATTCTACTGTCCTTGGATTTGGTAAAATATTGATAACAATGAATATTTAGGTCACCACCTGGTCACCACCTAAATATTCACTATCAATCGTCAGTGGGCCACACTTTCTCATTATACTTAACACAACGGCAACGGATGAAGATTAAATACCTACGAGCGTGGTAAAGCATTCTGCAAAGTACTTGGTTAAACCGCCAACCCATTTAATAAACACATCCTTCACTGACGGCCATTTTCCGGATGAGTTAAAAAAGACAGTAATATCGTCCAATAGCACTCATATCGAATCTTGCAGAAATTTATGAGAAGCTTGTACACAACAGAATTATAAATTATTTAAACAAATATAATATATTGCACGAGAATCAAAATGGTTTTCGGAAGGGAAGATCCACCGAATTCGCGATGTTTCAACTGTTGGAAAATATTATCTTGGGATTAAATGAAAAACAGGCCACAACAGCATTGTTCATGGATCTTACAAAAGTCTTTGATAGTGTACAGAATTTAATCCTTTTGACCAAGTTGGAGAGACTTGGCTTTAGAGGTGTTAGCTTGTCATGGATGAAATCCTATCTAACAGGGAGGTTACAATGTGTAGTTGCCCACAGTGAACAAGGAACAGAAATAAGATCAGCTTGGAGGGAAGTCAAGCTTGGAGTACCTCAGGGTTCAAGGTGAGGTGTAGCACTGATTATGAAATGCGGAAATCACTTATTGTGGATCTGAATAAACTTACGGATTGGTTTGAAGCGCACAACATAAAATTAAGTACAAGAAAAAACGAAAATTATTAACTATCACTTATGCTCTGACCAGATCAAGGTGAGGTATCGGGATACTGAGATTGCAAGTGTTGAAGAGATTTCGTTTCTGGGTTGGAAAATGAATCCTATTGATCATATTGATTTCCTTGCTGGCAAGATCAGTCATTTCTCATATGCTATTCGGATTATTTCGAGATCAGCTGGCATTGAAGCAGCATTAAATGCCTATTATGCATACGTTTATTCCTTGCTAAGATATGGAGTTGTCTTTTGGGGTCGTGGTGTTGGTGTAGATAGAATTTTCATACTATAGAAGAGGTGTCTAAGAGCAATCTTTGGTTTAAAAAATACTGATAGCTGTAGAAGTTACTTTAAAGGCTATAAAATAACTACCTTGTATAGAATTTATATTCTGGAATGTGAAAAAAGTATGAAATATCACATCCTCGAGACACACGCGGGAAGGTGAACTGCTATTTGGTGCCACCAAAAACGCACCTTACTAAGATTCAGAAGACGGTACTGTACCAGAGTATCAAGATCTACAATCACATTTCGGAGGGTACAAGGATCCTGCCACGACATGTTTTGACATGTTCCAATTTAATGTTGCAACACAATGTAATTATTGTTAAATTGACGCACTCAACGCTTTTTTTGTAAAATGCAGTAATAAAGTATTATTATTATTATTAACTAACACTAAACCTAGAACTAGAAACATTTGGATTTAGCCGCACGTCTCTCAAGACGGCTAAACCCGAATGTTGCTAGTTCTCGGTCTAGTGTTAGTTCTAGTGATAGTGCTAGTGTAAAACTAGAACTAACACAAGACCTACAATTAGAATCATTCGGGTTTAGCCGCACGTCTCTCAAGACGGCTAAACCCGAATGATTCTAATTGTAGGTATACGTTCTAGGCTACTGTAAAACTAGAACTAACACTAAACCCATAGCTAGAAATATTCGGTTATAAAACTCCCGCCAAAAAAAAATCTTTAAAAAATTACACTGTGTAAACATGACTTTTCATTTTATTCCTCCGACTTAAAAAAATAGAGTATAGTAAAGATAAAAAGATGTGTTTATGTGAAGGAAGTCTTGGACCAATTAATACAGGATTGACTTATTAGATTCAACATCCTTAATGGTCGCCGCGAAACATAAATGCGAAACTATCTATCGTTCCCGATGCGGTTAATTACTACTATTAGTCGCCACACCCAACTGATGAATTCACCTCGCGTTATGTGTTAAGTTTAAATACCGCTTATCTGGAAATCGTAAATTACTCGGAGAGCATAATTAATCATCCTAAAAAATATTTACCTGCTTGTTTGGGTAATAAAGGAATGGGTGCGAAAATAAGCGGTCCTCTTGGCGGAACCGGAGGAGCATCTTCTTCTTGTATTTCCGGTCGTTGTCCAATTAACCACGATTTCTGCAGAAATAATTAAAAATTAATTAAAAAGGAAAACTTGTAACTAAGGAATTTTAATTTTGTTGTTATCAAAATCAAGGTAATTAAGTTAAATACTTTTTTTGAGTATAAATAAGAATTACTTTTTTAGAATCATCACTTCTTTGCTATTCGTTTTTGTGAATACATCAATACCATGAATTCGTTTGTAAGTATTAAATTAATTTTATCGTTTTATTTTAATTAAAAAAAATTTGTTGTAGATGATCTTCATTGCTTTAGCTTCTTTAGCTTCTTCAGCTTTAGCTTTACCTTTACCGACGGGTACAAATGTTAATGTTCAACAAAGTACAGATGGTTCGTATACTTTCCATTTCATGGGAATCGATTCCTCAAGGTTAGAAGAAAGGAAACCTGATGGAACCGTCAGCGGTTACTACACCTTCATCGATACAGATGGAATTTCTCATACTATTCATTACTCCTCTGGTCCGAGTGGTTTTATTGCTACCGGCAGTGATATCCCAGCACAAGTTGTTGATTTACCAGAAGTTGCTAATGCCCGATTCGAACATGTTAACTTGGTTCAAAAACTCCGAGCGGAACTCCCACCTCTTGGACCAGATGGTTTGGTGCCTGAGGTTGAACCAGTTCCATTAACCAAAGAAGAATTTTTAGCGGCCGTTTCTCAAGTTTTAGGAAGATCTCATTTGAGTTTTAGCGAAGATACCCCCGAAATAGTTCAGGGTAAATTCGATTTAATAAACGCGCATAAAAAAGCGTTAGGTTTTTAAACTATACATCAAGTCATAGAAAAATTTTTATTAATAAATTAATTTACCTCTCTAATTTCTGGCATTTTACTCAATTTTCCTCCTCCTCCTTCTTGTTGTTGATTAGCCGGCGCCCTATCGATATTAACATTCTTGGTTTGCATTCTAATGCGGAATCTGAAACTCCGATTTGGTCAGTTCGGAGAAGTTCTCCTGGAAAGAAAGAGATACAGAAACCTTATAACGGTACTATGGTGGTCGTAAATTTTAACGACATCGGAAGTTGTGTTAAAGAACCAAGAGGTAAGTTTCTCTTTGGCGTTGGTATATCGCGAAAACTGTGTTGTCAGACACGGTTTAACTTCTTGAATTAATAGCCGTGTTTATTTCGGTTCTAAAATAAACCCTAAGGATGTATTTCAGAGCTGGATCGAAAAATTCTATTTAACTCAATATTTATTTACTTACTTGAAGAAATTTTAATCCGGTCCTGATTTAAACATGATGAAGAAGAATTAGTGACGACATCACATTATTAATGGTCAAGATGGGTTATAAATTATTGTCCCAGCTAAGCGATTAAACGCTGGGTTGTATTTCTGGTTGTGTTACGGTGTTTTACATTCAATACCACACATGTTTAAAATGGTACTCTAAATAAATCAATTAATCCCCACTAAAAAGTAATGAGTGCGAATTAAATAAGTTGTCCCAATATCTAGATTGATCATGAAAGAACCTCCTACATAATTCATATTTGAGAATACGACTTAGGAATAACTTCCTGGGTTGGACGATAATAAATCATTATAATTAGCGATCATGAACAGGTCGTTTGTAAAAAAAACAGTGTTATTTAGCGAACTGAGACTGAAATACTTCGCGTTCTTACCATTCATTTAGCAGGCGGAAAACCGCTACATTCGCTAATGAAAATAATGGGATGATGGATTTAAGATTAATTACTCTAACGGAAGTTATGCCTTATACTTTAAAAGAACGAGTGTTTTCTTAATTTAATATCCTATTGTAAGCGTGCCAAATAATTTATGTCTCCTCATATGTAAACGAGGTTATTTATCATTTCCTGCAAACTGTCCCGGAGTGGTTCATCGAATACAATAGATGGTTCTCCATACGTTGTAACATTCATGAATAATTTTAGTGATAATACGAATTAGGTAGGAGCAATTAATAAAATTCAATAATCACAATTTAATTTTAAATGAGAGAGAGAAAGCGATTTATAACAATAAAGTTGGTCCAAAATCGACCGTAGTCTTTCTGCGCAAGGAAGTTTTTGCTTGAACCTTGATTCTTGAATCAGAGAGTAGTGGGAAAATTGGGTAGAGATGAATAAGTTTTTAAGGAATCAATAGGGAAGTTGATGGCAGCATTATTGGGATTTCGTTTTTGTGATTCAAGAGTGGATTTTGAGGATGTCGGATTCGTGTGGTGAATCTAACAGCAGATCTTCCCGCTACTTCTAAATGGTATAAAGTATCAAATAAAAAAAAATTGTTGCTTTCATCTTCACCTTGATGGCATGGTCGGAAAATTTTAATCTTCTGCCTATCGAGATTTCCAAGTATTTGCAGATTGTTAGTTCAGATCAAATTTATCTGGAATTGTAGATATTGCAGCAAAATGAAAGGCCATGCTGAGGGGAGAATTTGTGGGAGAAGTAGTTTTTTAATCTTACTACTAAGGAGCAGTTGGTCAAAGGAACCTGTTTGCCGAGGATATCTAAAGTCCTCCAGGTGACCCTAGATACCATTTGCGCTTGGTGTAAGGGAGAGAACCTCTCAATAAATCCGCAAAAGACAATTGTTGTGCCCTTCACCAGGAAGCGAAAGTTGGATGGACTAATCCGCCCAACTATCCAAGGTGAAGAAATTCCTTTCTCAAAGGAAGTCAAATATCTAGGAGTAATCCTAGACAAAACCCTGTCATGGAATGGACATTTGCAGGGAGTTTTGCACAAAGCTAGACTATCCTTGTGGACTTGTCGCAGTCTTTGTGGAAAAAATTGGGGTCTTACCCCTGAAAGACTGTACTGGCTCTATGTGACTGTGGTTAGACCTATGATCACATACGGAGCAGCAGCCTGGTATAGGAAAGTCCGACAGACTTCAGTTATCAGTAAACTTTCACGAATTCAACGAGTAGCTGGATTGGCAATCTCTGGTGCGATAGGCACAACGCCAACTCTAGCAATGGAGGTTCTGCTTGGCCTATCTCCTCTGCATTTGCATATAGAGAAAGTGGCTAGAACAACCATTTACAGATTTAAGCAATATGCTCAAAACTGTTCCGACATGTCCTACCAATGGGCTGCGGAAGACATTATAAGCACTGATACTGTGCTATCAATGCCGTCAGATTTGGCGGTATCACTATCAGTGATTAATGCTCGATACCAGATTGTACTGCCTGAGCGGCAGTCCTGGATCGAAAATGAAAATTCTCTGGTTCGGGCAGACATTTGCTTGTACACAGATGGATCAAAAACGCCTGAAGGGGTAGGAGCAGGAGTATACTGCCAGACACCTCGAATTAAGCAAGCCTACAGCCTGGGTACGTACTGTACTGTATTCCAGGCGGAAGTATTTGCTATTGACATGGGTGCTAAAATCCTTCTTGAAAGAGGGGTGAAGAACATGACAGTACGAATTTTCTCAGACAGTCAAGCCGCTCTCCAGGCGCTGCAAGCCGTGAAAACGGTGTCGGCTCTGGTTAATGATTGTAAGAGAACATTAAACACACTGAGTTGTGATAACAGAGTCTCTCTGATCTGGGTCCCGGGTCACTCTGGGGTTGCTGGCAATGAAGCGGCAGATAAGCTAGCACGAGATGGCAGCGCTGAAGCGTTTGTGGGACCGGAACCAGCAGTTGGTGTATCATTTGCGATGGCCAAATATAGGATTGGACTGTGGGCTGAAGAGAGACTTCGCCTACTGTGGACCAGTTCTCCTGGAATGAGACATGCTAAGGTGTTTATTAACATCGCCACTGTCAAACCCGGGAATATTTTAGGACTTGCCCGTAGTAGCATAAAAGTTCTAATGGGTGTTTTTACTGGGCACTGCCGATTAAAAGCACACCTCAACTTGTTGGGTTTAGCCGACGATGTTGAATGCCGACTATGTGCGGAGGAAGCAGAGACGGTTGAGCATGTTTTATGCCACTGCCCTGCCGTTAACCGTATCAGATTCTCGATTTTTGGGTCGCAGTTTATCTCCTTAAAAGATCTGAATGACCTTTCGCCGAGCAAGGTATTAATGTTCGTTAAGAGCATTAGACTGCACGGTGAAATTTGATAATGATATCTATCGGGGTACAAATAGATCCTTAGGGTCGCGGTGCAAGGTTGGTTGGTCCGCCTACCCGATATGTATTCTATGTAATGTAATGTAATGTAATGTAAGGAGCAGTTGGAAAGGAATTGGTTAAGTAGGTTAAATCCTCGATGCCACACTGAATCGAACACTACCGCAGAATGGCGTTTTCGGAATCATGTCACTTGGAATTTGAAAATCAGCTCTATTAGAGCGTGGGACGTAGATCTACCAGATTGAAATCCAAACTGATAATTTCGGTATTTTATTAGAGACGACTCCCAATAGCTTGTTTTTGATCTTTTCAAGATCTTGCCAATAACTAGAAGAAGGGTGATAGGGCGATAGTTGGATGGGTCAGATAATGATAATTCTTTTTTGGGAACGCAAATTATAAGGGATGACTACGTTTCAAATGATTAAAATAAATTATTTTTAGCGCCATCTATTTAAAACCGGTTAAAGCGGTTGGAAACAACTCTAGGTAACAGCGGTGTTTCGCGATACTTTCAAAAGATGGCACCGTTGTAGAGTTTGTATAAAGAGTTGTATATACTTAAATTATTTCAAATTTTATTATTATTATTAAATTTACCTCAAGTTTTTCATCACGAATTAATAATTATAGTACAATTTCTTGTGTGTGGAGGTTTTCTTTTATTATTTTATTATAAAATCATTACACCATTCTCTCCTTTAACCATTTATTTCTAAATCGTTACAAACGACGTTTCGGGACTATTCCCATCACAGGTTTAATAATTTTTGTCATCAAAAACTTTTTCAATTTTATCATTTATCGTCTTTTAATTTCTACCCATCTCATCACGCCTACACATCACTTCTTTTTCAAAAGACCCGAAACGAGGGGGAATAGTCCCGAAACGTCGTTTGTAATGATTTAGAAATTAATAGTTAAAGGAGGGAATGGTGTAATGATTTTATAATAAAATAATTATACTGCTTTAAAAATGCAAGTTTTTGAATTATTAAACCAAATTATTAAAAGTGTGCCAAAAATTTTATATATACATAAAAATATATGATAAAATGTATAGGGTGTTCATTTAAAAAAAACCTACATACTCTCTGTTACGCTTAAATGGAACACCTGTATTAGTGAAAATAATTTTAACAACTTTTGTATATAAAACTTTTTTTTCTTTCTCAAACGGTTTCGCAACTATCGTCCGCCGGGATACTAATAACTCACCCTGTATATGTATATAATAACTTTATTTAACCCTTTGTGTCCCAAGAAGTCAAAATGTTTGAAACTTTGTGGCAGAATTAAAATGCCATCAAAATACACTCATTAAAGGCATTTCGATTCAATTTTAGCAAAATACATATAACAATCCTCCCATTCCAGGATTCAGTACTTGAGAGTATCGTCAAGCATTAAAATATACTTTAGTGATGTTGCAGTAAAATATAACATTAATTTTATTTCAACCCAACCTAACACAACCCAACCCAACCCAACCCAACCCATGTATAAAAACTTTTATATCTAATTTAAAAATAATACATTTTTTATTACGTTATCAAAATAAGTAACAATCGGTTTAGCTAAATCACATTATGATATTCAGAAAAACAGTTTTTTCTTTCATTACAACATAAATAAACATTGCACGCAGTACATTTTGAGTGGGGTCTGGATTGAATAGCTTTGGCAGAACAATTTTCCTACCTTCCTCTTTCTTTTTCAAAAGTAATCCAGTGCGAAACACGGCGCCCAAGCCTTACGTCAGTAACAGAATAGCCGTCTTTTGGGTAAGTGAGCTGGTGAACTTGCACTACGACATTTTCATGGTCGCAATAAATTTGTATATTTATTTATCAGACCTGTAGCTACAGAACGACGAAAATCTAATAGCGTCATCCTTTCCTTTTCATATTTAGAATATATGACAAATGAATTAACGAAGTTCCACCACTGTTGGAACGACAGTTGATTGCGTACACTTGTCGAAGGTGATCGATCATCAACGTCTGAAGGACAGCACACACCAATTTTCGTTCCAATCTTTTGCTTCCTGTTTGCGGTGATCTCTTCTGTTCCATGAAAATTAGAGCAAAATTTTACGCACGTACTGTCCTTCCATTTGTAATAACTTATATCTAAATTTGAGATCCGGTAATCATAATCTCCTTTTTTCATTTATTTATCATTTACCAATCCAGTTGTATCTTTTCACCTAGTTCAGTTTCCGGAAATTTTTCCTAATACACATCAAATTTCTTTATGTACCCTTTCTTGTCTGCTAAGCACCAGAGCTTATAACCCTTTTTTATGGGCTTCATGGGATTGAATAGTTTCATGCTTGACCTCCCTTTGAATTCATCTACAACTAACTGCCTAGTGCCATGATAATAGCTGGAGAACTGATGGTTAAGTGATTCAAAATACGAACGGATCTTGTATAGTTGATCCGTATTGTTCTTAGGAATAATGATGTAATCGCTGACATGCAGAAATAATAAAATCTCCTGAAACCTGTTACGGGTCATTGTTCGTATGACAAGTGGTACACCCAAGTCTTACTCCAGAAGAGTTTATAGCTTGGCAAACTGTGATAACTCATTAAGAAATTTATGCCAAGGAAACACAGCAATTCTTCTTTTTTCAAGTTTAGCGTTTTATTCCTTTGGGTGGCCTACAAATTACTTTGAAAGGTAATATCTTTCACACAGTTACCCATCAGTGATAGAAACTAATCTGTAGGATTATTGCAAGTTGCAAAACGTTCCACCTTCTTCATCTTCATAGATACCTCACTAACACTAGTAATAACAATGTCATCTTCTATATCTGTCTGTCACAAAGTTTTTCAACCTCAACCAAAAGCTTTTCATTAGTCAAAGCTTTGATCAAGTACCAAAACGTATCTGTATCCGCTTGGCCCATTTTTACATCAATCTGAATATTGTACCTGTTATTATCCTGACGGTACTTTTACGTACCAAACACAAAATGTAACTTTTTCGGGATAAAAATAAGAAATGTTTGAAAATGCAATACGTAAACAATACACATAATAACACCTAAAGATACCTTTTTGAACAACAAAATTCAGCAACACCACTTTTCACTAAACTTCTAACCTCACATCTGGATGAATAAACCTAAAAAAACTACAGTGCGGATTGCGTCATTTTTATACAGGTACTTTCTTGTAGAGTAGAAAGTACCGACAGCTCTAAATGCAGCGATTAGATGACTACAGTTTAAAATGAATATTTAAAACTACCGCTACTTTAAAGTGCCGTCGGGACACAAAAGATTAAGCTTTATTTATTCATATTTATGAAAATTTAATAAATTTAAAAATAATTTAACGACAAAAATCTTTAACATGTTAAAGTTACCCACTAACCGGAAGTGCACTTCCGGTCAATTTAATTGTCCGAAACGTCTGTGGCCTGTAACCGTAAACTCAAGGTCGTTACCGGGATACTTTACCTTTTTTCTAACAACTTTAATAATAGTACCAGAAAGAATTGAGTTAGCTTCTGTAATAAAGTAGTAATACGTATTTTATGAGGTCGTAAAATTATTAGTAGGTAGATTCGACAATAATCTGTATATACGACACCGTATTACCGTTGGGAATTAGCTTCCTTTTTCTCTCTTTGCATACCGAGTGTTATACTTAATTGATCTTTTCTGGGAAACAACATTATTGTAATTTTATGCAAATGTTATTTGGATTATTTTCAAATAATCCTAGGCGTGAAAGGAGTTTGTAGATGATTTGTGATAACGTGAAATTCGTTATTAACACAACTTTTTGCTTTTGGTTATATTAAATCGGTCATTTCACCTCGGGTTAGTATTTCAACAAATAAAACGAGATAAAACCTATTTATTACTATGCCAGAGGTTATAAATTGTCTACTAATCAGAAATGTAGTTTAACTGATGTTTCCGTTATGTCATTTATTGAAAGTAGTACAAAGTGTTACTATTTACAGTTTTATTAGTAATTAGTGCAAATATTTCAATTTTTTTTTTGCTTGACCTTAAAAACGTTAATGAATTAGAGTATTAGATAATTTTTGATCTTGTCCATTACCACACCGTGGGATAGATAATCATCTAGTTAACCGGTATTGTGCCACCAACTGAACTTTTCTTCACTAATGAGCAACAATAACTGTTAATGGTGCCCTGGCGTGAGCTTGGGAACGTTTTTCCTAAATAGACCTCCGTTTGTCGATGCATATCTAACTTAACTCTTATTCATTCGTTTTTAAATACAATAAAATGTACCTATAGATGAATTCCAGTTTAATAATTCATGCGTCAAGTGGGATAATTACCGATGCAAGGCAATCATCAACGCCGTTATGGTTTCCATACAATTCTTCGGTAATAAAATGGTGCTACCGCACATTTCGCGAAATTCTAAAGTGTTATACGCCGTTGTATAATTATGAATAGATTTTCAACATGTGTGTACAGTTAATCTCGACATGTGTTCAGCGTACTTATACCGACCAGAACAATCACATTGTAATTGTATCAAATGTCTGATGTAGCATAGACATCAAATAGAACTCAGAATACAGTAAATTTATTATTATTACATACGTTTTATAATCACCCCTCATCACGTCTCACGTGTAAAAAATTATCTTTTTTACGGCTCAAGAAACAAGGGTAGGACAACCTAAATTCGTTGACCTCTCGTAATTCCACGTGATGGATATTTAGATTTACGAACAAACCGTCCTCGTATAACATTGACGTCAACGAATGAGTTCTGAAACAAATATATTACAAGGTTTGAATACAATCCTGGCTATAAGGAGAAACGTGTAATGAAGTCATTTGAAGTTTCTTATCTCGGTTTAACTTATGGTAAGTTTCACGGAAACTTGCGCAATATCTCTCTTAAGCACATATCTTGTTAAATTTACAAGGGGGAATAATTAATATTTAACCAAATTATTAACAAACTTTTATTAACTTAAAATAACTCCAATTATAAATATGACGTTATGATAATTGGCGTTGAAATTCACCTATTAGGCATCATGTATCCAGCTATCAACCCAACCGATATTTCACATGATGATATTCAGAATTGTATTTGCAGCTCGGATGATCCGAGATTCTGTCATGGTAATTTACGGGTGTTCGAATTTCAATTGGAGATTGCGTTTTGACCTGTTGGATTTCGCTCTGTTACGCGTAATGAATTAAAAGATAAACAAGATCAGTTATGAAACAAAATATATATGGTGTGGTGGCATATATAACATTAAAAAAAATAAATTCAATTTAACTCTCAACACTGTTCCTACAGCGTTGTCAATTTGTCAAATGACTCAGGTAAGCGTAAGATTTCAGGGTTATTTGTGAGTTCAACACTTGAGTAATCGAGTACAAAAATAATTAAGTAAATTTTAACAAAACTCTCAGTGAAATCATTAAAAATATTATCTTACTTGTAGTTAATACGAAGGAAATTAAATTAACCAGTTTTAATAATTGAATTATACGTTATGAAATTGTAATAACATAACCAAACAAAATAATAACTCAATTAATCATATTTAAGGTAAGTGAAATTAACATTAAAATAAAAACAACGAATAATAATGAAATTGAAAATTATAACTTAGCTTAATCTTGTAGATTAATGAAGTTCTCGGATAAGGAAACTTGGACTCTTCAAAAGGAACCGGTAACAAAGATTCTTGATTGGATTGGAATAATTCTTCAGAATGGTGTACTGGATTAATTGGATCAGGAACCAGTTAATTTTCTTGTTTATTATTAAAGGTGAATAATTTTAATTCAAATAATCTTCTTACTCAACTTATTAAATAATATGTTTACTATTTTTGAGGTTATGTCACAATTGAATTGACAGGTAACCTAGCTTTTGCTTTTTACTAAATGATGGCGGACAAAATTAGCATGCACTCCTCATCACGTTCGAAATCACACTAAAATCTACCAGTTTTGTTTGTTTCATATTAGATCATTTTAAATAACGTCTTCTGATTGGTTAAATTCTTCAACTTGAAATTCGTAATTTAAATTTCTCCGGTATGGCCAACTTTGAAATGTCAAATGTCACCAATTAAATTTTATCAAAAATTATTAAATTTTCTATATTAATAATATTTATGCATGAAAAGTTGTAGTTTTGTTGCATTAACTTTGTTTGTGCTGATTTCGAAACATTTTCTTTTAGATTTCAACGTCCAGCTTCAAAAATACATTCAATTATTTAATGTACGGATTTTCGTCCAATTCTTCATTAAAACTCTCATATGATCGATGGTTTTCGTTCTTGACAGGCTAAGTTTAGCGTTTTCAATGGTTTCAACTGGACAAACATGAATTAAAATAAGAAATTAATGAAAAAAGAAATTTGAGGTTATGTTACTGTCAAAATTACTTCGTATTGACTTTACGTGGATTAAAAAACGTAAATAGCAAATAAAACATAATGAATTCTAACATAATTACAACATTTTATTAGGTTTTGTATTGTGTTCTGCTAGTCGTTTTGATAATTTTCTCCCTGTTTGTCCGATATATATAGCTTTGCAGTTGACACATGAAATAGAATAGACTCCACTGCAATTGTGTGTTTCCTCTTTATTCTTGCAATTGCTGAGCAATTTAAGAATGCTGTTGTTAGTTTTATAGCTAACTTTAATGTCGTGGTTTTGTAAAATGTGCCTAATTTTAAAATTCAAAGGATTGTAAGGTAATGAACAATAATTATCAGGATTTTGGATGGTCTTTTTAAATAGAGGATCATGTTTTATAATGGTTTTATACAAGAGTGTATCAATAAGTTGCAAAGGAAATGTACCCCCGTTCCATATGCAAAATATATTGTAATAAAATCCCTGTTTCCGAAGAAACAAAAAATGCTAATTAAATTTAAGATCTTTAGTATTATAGATTTGACTAAGTAGTAACGTATTGTTATGATTTTCGCTTAGATTTAAGAAAATTTAGGGCGATGTGCAAGAAAGATGATGAGCTTCAAATTTGACCTTGTCATTTACATTTTTGACAGGTATTGATTTTGGCGACTTTTCAGACGATTTTAGATTCTAAAACCATGCGAGATCGATAGATTGTATCGATTTAGCCCATAGGCCGCAATTTCATCCATTTCTGTATCATTTTAAATATTTAAATTCCAATTTTTCATTTCCAAACTTCAACATCAAATTACGATTTTCTCGAAAGAAATTGACACCCGAAAGCGCGTTTATCTAAAAAAACGAAAAATTAGATACAAAATTACAGAATCTTAATCAAATTTAAAGTTTATTAATAATTTCGAATATTTTCAAAATTGACAGTTATTTTATTTAAAAAAATTAATTATTTTGGCTAACCTGTGTAATTTATAATTCCCGCTACTTAATCAACCAATCGGAGAGCTCAGATTCAAATTGAGACGATCAAATTCGGATATCCAAGAAGGCTTTGTCCAAAAAGGGTATATAAGGCCGCGCAAATTGACACCGGAGAGAGTTCAAATTTGGCTAGGGACAAGCGTTGTCGAATCTACGTCAAATTAACCTTAAATTTTCTAACCTAAGTCTGAACTTAGAATTTTTTTTGACAACTAAACAAGTGTTTCTGAATTATCTTCGAAGAAATCGAAACCATACCTGAGTTCGAGTCCAATTTTTCATCCTGTTCCCGAAGGACCCGAGACTCCTAAACTTCTAACACCGAAGAATCCCTCAAGATCAAGGTCAGCAAGCCATTTTTAACTTACATGTCACACCTCCGGAATGAAACAAGATAAGTGAACATATTTCCTTTAATTTTTATAACCATCGCGATTAAAAATCAATCTTAAAAGACACTCATAAAATTAACGCGTATAAGCTTTGTCAACGACAACACTCTTCTAAAAGAGGTAAAAGAGTTACCTCTTTCTTGCACAGACGTATTTATTTAGGCTCGTTTTTATGTTTAGTTCGTAAATTTAAAAATTTTGTTAATAGATGTCTCCATGCACCTGCAATTTATTTTTCTATTCCCTGAGATTCATGTTTTTTAATTTAAAAATGTATTTTTGTTCGTTGCGAATCAAATAAAATAGTTTTGTGTGATTTATCATTTGTATAATTAATTTGTAAAAATTGGTTTGCATAAATAATTATTAATCGAACAAAAACAAAATAATACAATATCTATATATATTAAGTGCAATATTTAGTTTCTTCAAATATATCGTCAACATATCTTATCCACTTATTTATGATATTAATAAAGGGATTGGTGTTATGTAGAATAAACATTTTCAGCATCATTGTTTTTTCTCTAGATTTTTGTAATTTTATTTATATCTTGTAAATTTGTATGCATTTGTAGATTTGGCTGATGATGATCATTATTAGTTCATCGAAACCGGTACCAAGTACATTTAATATAAAAAAACAGAGGCTTTATGATTTTAATTTCAACTTCCCAAGCAACAATAATAGCCAAAAACAAGATTGGAAAAATATAAAATCTATAAAGAGCAAATTAACTAAAGGAAATGGTATTTTCGGTATATTAGACAACAATACATATTTGGAAAATACATATGAATTTTTACATAATAATAATTATATAAAGCTTAAAAATAATCCGTTGGAGAAAATCGTTAGAAATACAAAACAGATAATTAATAAATGTAAGGAGACCCTAGTTGAGTATATTCCATTTTTGAAGAATTCCAATTACAAATATTTTAACAGCTCATTCTTCATAAGTATGAACCCCACCATTTCAAAATTGTACTCCCTCCCAAAGCTTCACAAAATAAACATGCCCATTAGACCTATCACCTCCTTTAATAACTCACCTACCCAAAAACGTGTTAACTTTATGCTAAATATATTTAGGGATATTAACTTTTCACCGAAATACTCCATTAATAATGTTCCAATTGACCAAACATTTGAAATAACGTCAAAAATGTTTAATTCATTTTCTAATAATAAAATGACCGTCGATTATTTAAATTACATTTTAAAACACATAGTCATTTAAAATTATTGTACATTTAATAACGAATACTACTTTATTTCGGAAGGTTTTTAGGGATGCCTTTATCAGGTCTCCTGGCAGATATCTTTTTAGACTACACAAGAAAAATATTAATAAATGGGTAAGATATGTCGACGACGTTTTTTGTCACAAAAACTTGCTAATTTTAGATTTTTAATAAATAGAATTCCCTCCCTTTCCAAACAGAATAGGATAAAAGAAATTGACTATGTATTTGAGATTGCATATAATAATAAATTCCCAAAACACATTATTAATAGACTATTTCACAAAATACAGCAACAAAGAGACCCTCTTTATGTTAAAACTTTAAATAACTGGAAATATAAACCTATTCCTTACAATAATGTCACTTTTCAGGCAAAACACATTTTTCGTGTTCATATCTTTTAAAGACATTTTTCTTCGAGATAATGTTTGTCGTTTGAGTTTTTCGCTTTTCATGTATAGTATATTGCTTTGAAATTTTGACCGTACATTTTTAAACTGTCTTATTTTAATATGTTTTTCGTTTTTGCTAGTTTCGACTGAAGATGACGGTGTTATTTCGAAACTAGTCTCTAATGATATCGCGAAACTGCTTCTAGACATAGGTTTAAAAGAATACAAACCTACTGAGTGGCGCCTTTTTATTGACAGTTGTAAAAGAAGTTGTAAATGCGTCTTACTGCACAATGGAAATAAATTTGCACATTCAACAAAACTCAAAGAAAAATATTAAAATGTAAAATTAGTTTTAGAAAAAATTCATTACTCGGAAGCATCAATGGCCGATCTGTGTGAATTTGAAAATGGTTATTTTTTTACTTGGTCAATAAAGTATACACAAGGATACACGAAATACCCTTGCTTTATTTGTATGTAGGACAGTAGCGCAAAGCAACTTCATTGGGAATAAGATGTTTGGTCTGTAAGAAATTCTTTAACTGTCCGTAAAGCCAATGTAATAAGGGAGCCGTTGGTGAGCAGAGACAAAACCATACTTCCACTTTTATATATTAAGTGAGGAATGATAAAGTAATTTGTAAAAGCGTTGGACAAGGAAGGAGATTGTTTTAATTACATTTGTAGAAAATTTCCGAAGCGTAGTATGGAAAAGTTGAAAGGTGGAATATTTGATGGTCCTCAAATACGGCAATTGATGAAAGACACAGATTTTATTAAAGTTATGACTGTTCCGGAAAGTAAAGCTTGGAAAAGTTTTGTATTGGTAGTCGAAAATTTCCTAGTTAACCATAAAGCATCAAATTATGAAGAAATTGTACAAAATATGCTGACAAACTTTCAGACTCTAGGAGCAAATATGACTATCAAGTTACATTATCTCCGCAATCATCTGGATAAATTTCCGGATAATTTAGGAAATTACAGTGAGGAATCCCCACTTCGCCGAGGTCGCTTGCGGGCGAGGCGCTACAACTGATACATTATTAATACAAACCTGAAGTCTATGAAATTTTGCATTTAGAAGCTATGATATCAGTTCCACGTAAGCAACTTCGGCTATATTAGACGATATTGTTCATTTTATCTTGGAAACACTTGAATAAGAAATCGTTTATCCCCACTTCGCCGAGGTCGCTTGCGGGCGAGGCGCTACAACTGATACATTATTAATACAACCTTGAAGTCAATGAAATTTTGCATTTAGAAGCTATGATATCAGTCCCACGTAAGCGACTTCGGCTATATTAGACGATATTATTCATTTTGTCTTGGAAACACTTGAATGAGAAATCGTTTATCTCCACTTCGCCGAGGTCGCTTGCGGGCGAGGCGCTACAACTGATACATTATTAATACAAACTTGAAGTCAATGAAATTTTGCATTTAGAAGCTATGATATCAGTCCCACGTAAGCGACTTCGGCTATATTAGACGATATTATTCATTTTGTCTTGGAAACACTTGAATGAGAAATCGTTTATCCCCACTTCGCCGAGGTCGCTTGCGGGCGAGGCGCTACAACTGATACATTATTAATACAAACTTGAAGTCTATGAAATTTTGCATTTAGAAGCTATGATATCAGTCCCACGTAAGCGACTTCGGCTATATTAGACGATATTGTTCATTTTGTCTTGGAAACACTTGAATGAGAAATCGTTTATCCCCACTTCGCCGAGGTCGCTTGCGGGCGAGGCGCTACAACTGATACATTATTAATACAAACTTGAAGTCTATGAAATTTTGCATTTAGAAGCTATGATATCAGTCCCACGTAAGCGACTTCGGCTATATTAGACGATATTGTTCATTTTGTCTTGGAAACACTTGAATGAGAAATCGTTTATCCCCACTTCGCCGAGGTCGCTTGCGGGCGAGGCGCTACAACTGATACATTATTAATACAAACTTGAAGTCTATGAAATTTTGCATTTAGAAGCTATGATATCAGTCCCACGTAAGCGACTTCGGCTATATTAGACGATATTGTTCATTTTGTCTTGGAAACACTTGAATGAGAAATCGTTTATCCCCACTTCGCCGAGGTCGCTTGCGGGCGAGGCGCTACAACTGATACATTATTAATACAAACTTGAAGTCTATGAAATTTTGCATTTAGAAGCTATGATATCAGTCCCACGTAAGCGACTTCGGCTATATTAGACGATATTGTTCATTTTGTCTTGGAAACACTTGAATGAGAAATCGTTTATCCCCACTTCGCCGAGGTCGCTTGCGGGCGAGGCGCTACAACTGATACATTATTAATACAAACTTGAAGTCTATGAAATTTTGCATTTAGAAGCTATGATATCAGTCCCACGTAAGCGACTTCGGCTATATTAGACGATATTGTTCATTTTGTCTTGGAAACACTTGAATGAGAAATCGTTTATCCCCACTTCGCCGAGGTCGCTTGCGGGCGAGGCGCTACAACTGATACATTATTAATACAAACTTGAAGTCTATGAAATTTTGCATTTAGAAGCTATGATATCAGTCCCACGTAAGCGACTTCGGCTATATTAGACGATATTGTTCATTTTGTCTTGGAAACACTTGAATGAGAAATCGTTTATCCCCACTTCGCCGAGGTCGCTTGCGGGCGAGGCGCTACAACTGATACATTATTAATACAAACTTGAAGTCTATGAAATTTTGCATTTAGAAGCTATGATATCAGTCCCACGTAAGCGACTTCGGCTATATTAGACGATATTGTTCATTTTGTCTTGGAAACACTTGAAT